ATAGATAATTTTGTCAAAATTCACTATTTTCTGCTCACACTCTGCTTCAGTAAAGCAATGTAAACCACTAAGAATAACACACAGGTTACCTAGTAAGTGCTACTAGAAACCAAGGAAACAAATATCAATAAGGCAAAATCAGTAGTTACTTTCTTCTCTAATTGAACTAATTTTGATTCTCTTAGGCAATAGCAATTTCATGGCACCAAAAGAACCCTCTTTTAGGGAGTCTACAGCCCTAGTTGGAAAGAAGATAGACATGCAAACGAATGCTGTCTGGCATGACAGGCCATATATATTATAGTGATAGAGTCCAGGTTTGGGAGAGATACAAACCTGAGTTTGAATCTAAGCTAGGACACTTACTAGCTGCAGAGTCTCTTAGAACTTCTATTTTCTCAACTGAAAAATGGGACTGCTGCTACCTCAACTCATAGTGATATGAGGATTAAATAAGCCATTACATATAAAATGCTAGTCGCTGGCAAATAATGGAATTTCAATAATATCTGAAAGATGTGGTAGATTAAGCAGATATAATTCTGTGAATATTGGAGAACATAAGGATCAATGAATGAAAGAGAAAAGGGTAGGAGAAAGGCAACATGCAAGGCAGAAAAGGAGCCCCAAACAAGGAGGTCTAAGAAAGCTTTTGACTCAAAAAACCTGTTGGTAATATTTTATGAGAATCCAGTTATGGATCTCATGATGTGAAAAGCTGATCTGAGGAGCTCCACTTCTGCAAATGATTATCTAAGTGGGATCAAGTCTTTTACTGAGGAAATTGAGGGGACCCCACATAGAAAAAAAAAAACAGTTCAAAGGTGCTGGAGAATTAACAGGGCAGTAAAGCATTATGGTATCCAGATGTAGAAGAAGAAAATCCAGAGAGGGGCACCTAGCATTTGGAACCCTCTTTCCCTTGGGGCATCTGCAGATTCTGGAAGAGGGACCTGAAAGTCTGAGGAACTAAGGCTTGACTTATTAGTATTTTGTTAATGATTTTGGGTCTATATTCAAGAGGGATGTCAGTCTGTAGTTTTATTTTCTTGTAGGTGTTTATCTGGTTTTGTTACCAAGATAATGCTTTATAAAATGAGTTGGGAATTATTCTTCCCCTTCCTGTTTTCTGAAAAAGGTGGTGCAGAATTTGGTATTATTTATTCTTCAAATGACTATAAGAATACAGTGAAATTATCTGGGCTGGGAGATTTCTTTTTCAGGAGGTTTTAAACTATAATTTAACTTTCTTTAATAGATATCTGACTATTCAGGTTATGTATTTCTTCTTAGGTGAGTTTTATTAATTTGTGACTTTAAAGGAAATTGGTCCATTTCATTGAGGTCACCATATTTTTGTGTATATATGTTATTTGTAGCATTTCTTTATCACTTGGTGAGTATCTAATTCCCCTTGAGTCATCCTTTTTAATCCAAGGATTATTTAGAAGTGTGCTGTTTAATACTCGAGTGTGTGGAGATTTTCCAGTTGTCTTGCTCTTATCAATTTCCACATTAATTTCATTTTGTTTACAGAATATTTCGTAGTATTTTAAGTCTTTTCTTTAAAATAGGCTTACTGAAATATATTTCACATATAATTGTTCCTTTTAAAATGTACTATTCTCCTCAATCAAGGACCAGAGGGGAGAAAAATGTACTATTCAATGTTTTTTAACATTCAGAGTTGTATAACCATCATTAAAATTAATATAGGGACAATTTCATCACCTACAAAAAGAGACTGCATATCCATTAGCACTCATTCCTCATTCCACCACAGGCTCTCTATGGACTAGGCAACCATTAACCTATTTCCTGTTTCTATACATTTGCCTATTCTGGACAACTTATATATATGAATTCATACAATGTGTGGTGTTTTGTGACTTGCATCTTTTACTTTACATAAAGTTTTCAAGATCCAATCATGTGTAGTATGTATCAGTACTTCATTTCTGTTTACTGCTGTATAATACTCAATTATATGAATGTATCACATTTGTTTTTCTGGGGCTGTTCCCAACTTCTGGCTATATGAAAATGAATGTATAAGTTACTGTGTGGATATATTTTCATATATTTTGGGTGTATACCTAGGAGTGGAATTGCTAGGTCATATGGTAACTCTATGTTTAACTGTTTGAGGAAATGTCAGACTTTTCTTAATGGCTGCACCATTTTACGTTCCTACTTGTAATTTATGAGGGTTCCAATTTATCCACATTCTTGGCAGCACCTGTTAATATCTGACTCTCTGATAACTATCCTAGTGTGAAGTGGTATCTCACTGTGCTTTTGATCATGACTAATGATGCCAAGCATCTTTTCAGGTGCTTATTGGCCATGTATACATCTTCTTTGGAAAAACATCTATTCAGATCCTTTGTCCACGTTTTACATTGGGCCACCTGTTATTGAGTTGTAAGTGTTGTTTATACATTCTAGATACAAGTTCCTTATCAGATACATCATCTGCAAATATCTTTTTCCATGCCGTGGGTTGTCTTTTTACTTACTTTCTTGATCATATCTTTTGAAGCACAGAAGTTTTAATTTTTTTTTTTTTTTGAGATGGGGTCTCACTCTGCCACCCAGGCTGGAATGTAGTGATGTGATCTCAACTCAGTGCAACCTCTGCCTCCCAGGCTCGAGTGATCCTCCCACCTCAGCCTCCCAAGTAGCTGGGACCACAAGCACATGCCATTGTGCCTGGACAAATTGTGTATTTCTGCTAGAGAGGGGGTTTCACCATGTTGCCTAGGCTGGTACTGAATTCCTGAGCTTGGGCAATCCACCTGCTTTGGCCTCCCCAGATGCTGGGATTACTGGCATGAGTCACCGCATCCAGCCATAAGTTTATAATTTTGATGAAGTCCAATTCATCGACTTTTTCTTTTGATACTTAGGCTTTTGGTATCACATCTAAGAAAATGCTAGCCAAGACCATGAAAATTTACTCCTCTATTATTTTCTTCTAAAATTTTTATAGTATTAGCTCTTAAATTTTGGTCTGTGATCCATTTAACTTAATTTTTGTAGTATGTGAACTAGGGGGCCAAATTAAGGTTGGTGCAAAAGTTATTGTGGTTTTTTGCCATTGAAAGATTGCAAAGGCCGGGTGCGGTGGCTCAAGCCTGTAATCCCAGCATTTTGGGAGGCCAAGGCAGGTGGATCACGAGGTCAAGAGATCGAGACCATCCTGATCAACATGGTGAAACCCCGTCTCTACTAAAAATACAAAAAATTAGCTGGGCATGGTGGCATGTGCCTGTAATCCCAGCTACTCAGGAGGCTGAGGCCTGAACCCAGGAGGCGGAGGTTGTGGTGAGCCGAGATTGTGCCATTGCACTCCAGCCTGGGTAACAAGAGTGAAACTCTGTCTCAAAAAAAAAAAAAAAAAAAAAAAAGAAATATTGCAAAAACTGCAATTACTTTTGCACCAACTGAATATTATTTTGTTATGATATCCAGTTGTCCCAGCACTATTTCTGTTTTTCCCCCATTGAATTATCTTGGCATCCAGCATCCTTGTTGAAAATAAATTAGCCATAAATGTGAGGATATATTTCTGAATTCTTAATTCGATTTCATTTATTTTTATGTCCATCATCATACAAGTACCACACAGTCTTGTTTACTTTCACTTTGTAGTGAAATATTTTGGAATAGCAAAGAGTGAGTCCTACAATTTTTCTGTCCTTTTTCAGGATTGTTTTGGTTACTCTGGTTTCTTTGTATTTCCATAGGAATTCAAGATTCAGCCTTTCCATTTCTGGGGAAAAAAACACCAAAAAACAAAAAAAGCTTCTGACTCAAAGTAACTAACCAGTATTTTGTTAGGAATCTGTAGATTAGTTTGGGAATTACTGCCATCTTAACAATGATCCATGAACATTGGATGTCTTCTGATCCATGAACATGAGATGTCTTCATTTCATTTAGATCTTTAATTTTTTTTTTTTTTTGTGATGGAGTTTTCCTCTTGTCACCCAAGCTGGAGTGCAATGGTGCAATCTCAGCTCACTGCAACCTACACTTTCTAGGTTCAAGCAATTCTCCTGCCTCAGCCTCCCATGTAGCTGGGATTATAGGCATGTACCACCATGCCCAGCTAATATTTTACATTTTTAGTAAAGACAGGGTTTCACCATGTTGGCCAGGCTGGTCTCGAACTCCTGACCTCAGGTGATCTGCCTGCTTTGGCCTCCCACAGTGCTGGAATTACAGGTGTGAGCCGCTGCACCCAGCTGAAAATCCAAAACATAAAGTACCAATAAGACAAACAAAACTCATACTCAAAGGAAACAGTCACTGGGGCATTTTGGATTTTGGATTTAGGATGCTAAACTGGTAAGTATAACATAAATAGTTCAAAATCTGAAAAAATCCAAAAACTGAAACACTTCTGTATTCAAGAATTTGAGATAAGAGATACTATGCCTGTATATGAAAAAGACTACTGGCTGGGTGTGGTGGCTCACGCCTGTGATCCCAGCACTTTTGGAGGCCAAGGCGGGCAGATCATGAGGTCAGGAGTTTCAGACCAGTCTGACCAACATGGTGAAACCTTGTCTCTACTAAAAAAAATACAAAAATTAGCTGGGCATGGTGGTGTGCACCTGTAATCCCAACTACACAGGAGGCTGGGGCAGGAGAATCACTTGAACCCGGGAAGCAGAGGTTGCAGTGAGCCGAGATCACACCATTGCACACCAGTCTGGGCGACAAAGGGAGATTCCATCTCAAAAAAAAAAAAAAAAAAAAAAGAAAAATACTACCATATATACCAATTTTTAATAGTTTTTTTTCTGGGTATTAAAATTACTGGTATTAAAATTTATTTTTCTTCACCTCATTCATGTTTTCTAAGTAAATTATTACTTTTGAAATGGAAAACAAAGTTATTTAAAAATAATCTAATAAACTGTTCAAGAAATAGCTTATATTTATTTCAACAACTTCTAAATAATATATTCAACGTTTATATATTTTTTTAGAGATTGTGTCCTGCTCTGATACCCAGGATGAAATATAATGGCATGATCCTAGCTCACTATAGCCTCAAAAACTCCTGCCCTCAAGTGACCCTCCTGCCTCAGCCTCTCGAGTAGCTAGGACTACAGATGTGCATCACCATTCCCAGCTATTTAAAAAATTGTCTGAAGATGTGGAGCCTCACTCTATTGCCCAGGTTGGTCTCAAACTCCAGGCCTCATGTGATCCTCCTGCCCTGGCCTCCCAAAGTTCTGGCATTGCAGAAGTGAGCCACCATACCTGGTCATATTCAACATTTAGATAACGTTTTAAACCAATATTAAGATAGCTGAGTTAGTTATACCTGCAAGCACCATCAAAGACTATAACCTTGCCCTCCCTTGGTACTGAAAACAAACTACAGTGCATTATGTTACACATTATTAGGGATAAGAAGTAAGGCATCTAAATTTTTTGCTTAAACAAGAGATGGAAAGAAAGAAATGTGTGAATTCATAAATCCTATCAAGGTGTGACTGACAGTACCAAGAAAAAGCACAGACGATTCAGCTGGCAGAATGAGGATGTGTTCTTATATACTAGTCATCCACAATTTGCTTTCCTTCTGTAATGGTAAAGGTTTACCATTTAACCAGTAAGATGATAAAACAAATAATTCACAATATCTATTCCCATATTCCACATGAATGCTTACTAGCCCTACTTGTTATCAGCTTACGTCATTTCACCTTTGTTTCTGTGGATAACAGCACTTCTCTTGATATGCCATGAACATGGATTCAGTACCAATCTCCTAAGACTGACAGCTCTAAGACAGCAGAGACTAAGTCTAATTAACCTTAGTATTGCCAGATTGAGTTGGCTTCGCTAGGTATACTATGCACCATGACTTTTCAAGCTTTGTGCATGTGTTTAGCATCTTGGCAAAGGAAACTTAGAAGTCATACCTGGTAGGATTCCTTTTGTCTTCCTCAGAGATCAAAAACCAAACAAAATCTGCATAGCTCATTCTTCCCTCTTTCTGTATGGTTTTTCCTCTGAAGAAAACACATGGTTATAAAATTTCCTGAGCAATTACTCAGAACCGTTTTTCAGGATGATAGGCTAAGAAATAAAGTGTTATGTCAGTTGATTTTTTAAAAAATTAGAATGCTAGATGCCTTATAAAGGGCAACTAGCATTCTTATCTTCAAAGGTCTAGAGGGCGAAACCAGAAGGCATTTGCAAATACAAAGAAAAGAAATCTGATTTTTAATACGAATGTGAATAATCACTGGGATAAAATACTGTTATCTGTATTTAGATATAGGATTAATACTCATGTTAGGCATCAAAGGGAGATGCTGCAAAATAATAAGAGCTATCTATGACAAACACACAGCTAGCATTATACTGAAAGGACAAAAGCCAGAAACAATCCCCTTAAGAACAAGACAAGGATGCCCACTCTCACCACTCTATTCAACACAGTACTGGAAGTCTTAGCCAGAGCAATCAGGCAAGAGAAAGAAATAAAATGCATCCAAATAGGAAATGTCAAATTATCTCTCTTTGCTGACCACATGATTCTATACCTAGAAAAGCCTGAAAACTATGCCAAAAGGCTTTCAGAACTATTAAAAATTTCATTAAAGTTTTGGGATACAAAATCAACATATAAAAATCAGTAACATTTCTATACACCAATAGCATTCAAGCTGAGAGCCAAATCAAGAATGCAATCCCATTTACAATAGCTGCACACACACACAAAATAAAATACCTAGGAATATGGCTAACCAAGGAGGTGAAAAATCTCTACAGGGAGGACTACAACACTCTGCTGAAAGAAATCAGAGATGACACAAACCAATGGAAAAACATTCCATGGTCATGGATAGGAAGAATCAATATCGTTAAAATAGCCATACTGCCCAAGGCAATCTTACAGATTCAATGCTATTCTTACTAAGCTAACGTCATTTTTCACAGAAAAGTTTTTTTTTTTTGGGGGGGGAACTATTCCAAAATTCATATGGAACCCAAAACAAAGCCCAAATAGCTAAAGCAATCTTAAGCAAAAACAACCAAGCCAGAGGTATCATAGCACTTGAGTTCAAACTACACTATAAGGCTACTGTAACCCAAACAGCATGGTACTGGTACAAAAACAGACACATAGATCAATGGAACAGAATAGAGAGCCCAGAAATAAAGCTGCACACCTACAAGCATCTGATATTTGACAAAGTCAACAAAAACAGTGAAAAGATGACTCCCTATTCAATAAACAGTGCTGGGATAACTGGTTAGCTATATGTAGAAGAAGGAAACCAGACCCTTACTTTTCACCATATAAAAAAATTAATTCACAATGGATTAAAGACTTAAATGTTAGACCTCAAACTATAACAAACCTAGAAGAAAACCTAGGAAATACCCTTCTTGACATCAGCCTAGGCAAATAAGTTATGGCTAAGTCCTCAAAAGCAATTGCAACAAAACCAAAAATTGATGATTAGGACCAAATTAAACTAAAGGGCTTCTGTACAACAAAAAGAAACTATCAACAGATTTAACAGACAAACTACAGAATTGGAGAAAACATTCTCAAACTATGTATCCAACAGAGGTCTAATATCCATAATCTATAAGGAACTTATATCAACAAGCAAAAAACAACTCCATTTAAAAATGGGCAAAGGACATGAACAGACACTTCTCAGAAGACACACAAGCAGCCAACAAACATGAAACAATCTCAACATCATTCATCATTAGAGAAATGCAAATAAAAACCACAACAAAATACCATCTTACAACATCAGAATGGCAATTACTAAAAAGTCCAAATATAACACATGCTGGTGAGGCTGTGGAGAAAAGGGAATGCTTATACATTGTTAGTGCGAATGTAAACGAGTCCAGCTGCGGTGGAGAGCAGTTGATTTCTCAAAGAACTTAAAACAGAACTACCATTCAACCCAGCAATCCCATTACTGGGCATATACCCAAGGGAAAATGAATCATTCTACCAAAAATATACATGCACTTGTATGTTTATCCAGCACTATTCACAATAGCAAAGACATGGAATCAACCTAGATGCTATCAACAGTAGACTGGATAAAGAAAAATGTGGTACATATATACCACTGAATACTATGCAGCCATAAAAATTATGAAATCATGTCCCTGCAGCAATATGGAGGCAGCTGGAAGCCATTGTCCTAAGCAAATTAACACAGGAACAGAAAACCAAATACTACATGTTTTCACTACTAAGTGGAGGCTAATGTTGACTACACATAGGTATAAAGATGGGAGCAATGGACACTGGGGTCTGCTGAAGGGGTAGGGAGTGAGCAGAGGGCTGAGGGACTGACGGGTGTTGTGCTCACTGCCTGTGTGACAGCATCCTCCATACACCAAACCTCATTATCACGCATTGTTCCCATGTGACAGACCTGTATATGTATTCCCTGAATTAGAAATGTATTCCCTAAATCAGAAAAAAAATTTTTTTAAATAAAAAAAAATAAAAAATTATTAAAAAAAAAGAATTACTGTCTTGTATTAAGCCATAACTATGATTTACAGGATAATATTTGGTCTAGGAGCACTGCCAAATTATTCAGGAAGCATTGCTAAAATGAGATCATTACAGTATTACTTGTAGTTCATTTTTAAACACAGAATTACATTTTCTTACCTTGTTACTGCCCCAGAGAAGATCCTTTCGATAATCCTGTTTGATGAAGCTAAATGTAGATTTAAAAAACATTACAAAGCTAGTTTAGAATCATGCTCCATAAAGGCAATACTTTTCACAAATTTGCTTTTCATTAGCTACAAGCTAAACCATAACTATCGTCCATGATGAAAGTACATTTTAATTTATGCATACTTTAAAAAAGTAACAGGCAAATGAATGTGGCTGACATCTGGGAAGTATTAATATAGCTTAATGCTAAGTTTGTTCTGAACATCCTGACAACTAAGACAAAAATGTATAGGATTTGTATTAATCTTATCCAATGAGACCGATTTTCCTATAAACAAGACAAATTTTATCCTTACATTAAATTCAAAAGGGAACTGATTGTGGAAGATCCTAAATCAATGTAAAATAAAACAAAGTTAAAACAATGGAGAATGCTTTTAAGTAGTTTTTAAAAAACTATTTAAAACCAGGGTTTAACATGATATAACATAATATTTTTAGAAATTCTATCAGGAAGTTTTATTCAAAGAGACAATTATAGTTTAAGTTAGCATGATGGAGAAAGAGAGAAAGAGAGAGAGAGAGAGAGAGAGAGAGAGAGAGAGAGAGAGAGAGAGAGAGAGACACGGAGACTGACCTAGAGACCTGTTCTTTCTTTTAACAGGTTCCCCAGGCAATGGGGACACCCGTTAAAAATCCTGACTAAAATTTCAGGACCAGCAATAAGGTCACTAGGGACTTGGTAGCTATCAGCATCCAATTCTTCTGCATACAATTAGGTACAGTCAGCATAAAGGTAAATTAGTTTGGCCAAAGAAAGTTGGGAATATGTGTATTGGTACAGCCATGCCTGGCCACACACCAAAGCTTATATAAAGACATTTTATATTTTGTTGAACATTGGATAATGGCGTTGATAATTTGTACTAGATAGAAAAAAGAGGGTTATATAGGAAAGGCAAGGATATTTAATTGCAAAGCCAAAATCTTTTTTTTAAAGGCTTTTTTTTTTTTTTTAGCTTGGGAAGGTTTGGCTTCCTAAAATTGAAGATCATGTTATTTCATGTTGTCTCATTAAGGACAGTCTGGTGAGTGGATATTCTGCAGTGTTCAGTGGCCCCTTCATTTATGCAGGCCTAGATACTTGCTTTTCTGAACTTAGTGAGTTGCTATGTGAGTATATACAATATTTGGGGATTTAATGAAAAATTATGGTTATATCATCCAGAGAGGGAGTTTTAGAGCCACAACATTGTGTATGACTGCTGGAGGCTGATCATGTTGTATAGATAATGTGTTCATTGGTAACTGGAAGGTGCATAGCTAAAAAGCTGACATCCCTCTGAATATCTTCATCTTTATGTTATTCTGGTGACAAGAAGGTTATGATTACATGAAGAAGGGAGGTAACAATACTAACATGTTGACCAATAAGTACATTTCAGTATTTCCCCTTGATGTCTGCTTGGTACCTGAGAATTTGAAAGCAAGAACTTTATTTCTTAAATATGCAAAGCTCTGTGAAACCTGATGTCATACACAAGCCTTTTCTTTTTTTATATTTTTGAGACAGTGTCTCCCTGTTGCTCAGGCTAGAGTGCAGCAGCATCATCATGGCTCACCGCGTCCTCAACTTCCCCAGGTTCAGGAAATCCTTCCATCTCAGCCTCCTGAGTAACTGGGACTACAGGCAGGTGCCACCACAGGCTGATGAATTTTTGAATTTACTTTGTCATTTAAAAGCAATTATTTATTTTTTAATATTTGTATTTTTTGTAGAGACAGGGTTGCACCATGTTGCCCAGGCTGGTCTTGAACTCTTGGGTTCAAGTGATCCACTCGCTTTGGCCTCCTAAAGTTTTGGTATTACAGGCATGAGCCACTGCCTCCAGCCTGATTAGCCTTTTCTTAAGATGCAGACCATTAGTAACAGACATACCAAAAAACAAAAACAAAATTCAATATATTTATTTAACATTTATACTCTGCTATATCTAAAAAACGACAGTATTATTTAAAAATCAACATGAGAAAGCATTTAAAGACAGAACATGGACAATTTTTTCAGAGAAGAATGAATCAATGTATTTGGTGCTTAGTTAACAATATTAAGTCAGGCCAGGTATGGTGGATCATGCCTGCAATACTAGCACTTTGGGAGGCCGAGGTAGATGGATTGCTTGAGCTCAGGAGTTTGAGACCAGCCTGGACAACATGGCAAAACCTCGTCTGTATTAGTCTGTTCTCATGCTCTTAATGAAGACATACCTGAGACTGGGTAATTTATAAAGGGAAGAGGTTTAATGGATTCACACTTTCATGAGGCTGGGGAGGCCTCATAATCATGGCCAAAAGCAAAGAAGAAGCAAAGGCACATCTTACATGGCAGCAGGGATGTGTACAGGGGAACTCCTCTTCATACAACCATCAGCTCTCGTGAGACTTATTCACTATCATGAGAGCAACGCAGGAAAGACCTGCCCCCATGATTCAATTAACTCCTACTGGGTCCCTCCCATGACACATGGGGATTATGGGGGCTACAATTCAAGATGAAATTTGGGTAGGAACACATCCGAACTGTATTGTTCCACCCATGGCTCCTCCCAAATCTCAGGTCCTCACATTTCAAAACCAATCATGCTTTCACAACAGTCCCCCCAAAGTCTTAACTCATTTTAGCATTCACTCAAAAGTCCACAGTCCAAAGTCTCATCTGAGACAACCCAAGTCCCTTGCACCTATGAACCTGTAAAATCAAAAGCAACTTAGTTACTTCCTAGATACAATGGGGATACAGGCATTGGTAAAAATATACATGTTCCAAATGAGAAACTAGACCCATGAAACTCTGAAATCCAACAGTGCAGTCATTAAACCTTAAAAGTTCAAAAATGATCTTTTTTAACTCTATGTCTCATATCCAGGGCGCACTGATGCAAGAGGCGGGTTCCCATGGCCTTGGATAGCTCTACCCCTGTGGCTTTACAGGGTACAGCTCCCCTCCTGGCTGCTTTCATGGGCTGGCATTGAGTGTCTGTGGCTTTTCCAGGCACATGATGCAAGCTGTTAGTGGATCTACCATTCTGGGGTCTGGAGGATGGTGGTCCTCTTTTTTTCTTTGAGACGGAGTTTTGCTCTTGTTACCCAGGCTGGAGTGCAATGGCGCAATCTCGGCTCACCGCAACCTCCACCTCCTGGGTTCAGGCAGTTCTCCTGCCTTAGCCTCCTGAGTAGCTGGGATTATAGACACGCACCACCATGCCCAGCTAATTTTTTGTATTTCTAGTAGAAACGGGGTTTCACCATGTTGACCCGGATGGTTTTGATCTCTTGACCTCGTGATCCACCCACCTTGGCCTCCCAAAGTGCTGGGATTACAGGCTTGAGCCACTGCGCCTGGCCGGTCCTCTTCTTATAGCTTCACTAGTTGGTGCCCCAGTAAGGACTCTGTGTGGAGGCTCCAACCCCACATTTCCCTTCCACAGTGCCCTAGCAGAGGTTCTTCATGAGGGCTCTGTCCATGTAGCAAATTTCTGCCTGGACACCCAGGTGTTTTAATACAACCTCTGAAATCTAGGTTGAGGTTCCCAAACCTCAATACTCGACTTCTGTGTACCCACAGGACCAACACCAAAGAAGCCACTGAGGCTTGGGGTTTTCACCCTCTGAAGCAATGGCCTGAGCTAAACGTTGGCCCCTTTTGGCCATGGCTGGAGCTGAAACACAGAGGCTGCAGAGAGCAAGGGGGCTCTGGGCCCAGCCCAGAAAATCATTTTTCTCTCCTAGGCCTCCAGGCCTGTGATGGGAGGGGCTGTCATGAAGGTGTCTGACATGCCCTCATTGGAGGAGACATTTTTCTCATTGCCTTGGTGATTAGCATTTGGCTCCCGGTTATTTATGCAAACTTCTGCAGTGGGCTTGAATTTCTCCCCAGAAAACGGGTTTTTATTTTCTACTGCATCATCAGGCTGCAAAAATTTTCTAAACTTTTATGCACTGTCACCTCTTGAATGCTTTGCCATTTAGGGATTTCTTCCATCAGATATCTCAAGTCATCTCTCTTAAATTCAAAGTTCCACAGATCTCTAGGGCAGAGGTGAAATGCCACCAGTCTGTTTGCATAGCAAGAGTGACCTTTACTCTAGTTCCTAACAAGTTCCTCATCTCCACCTGAGCTTAAGCCTGGATTTTTACTGTCCATATCACTATCAGCATTTTGGTCAAAGCCATTCTACAAGTCTCTAGGAAGTTCCAAACTTTCCCACATGTTCATGTCTTATTCTGAGCCCTCCAAACTGCTCCAACCTCTGCCTTTTACCTAGTTCCAAAGTCACTTCCACATTTTCAGGTATCTTTAAAGCAGTGTCCCACTCTCCTGGTACCAATTTACTGTATTAGTCTGTTCTCATACTGCTACTAAAGACATACCCAAGACTGGGTAATTTATAACAGAAAGAGGTTTAATGGACTCACAGTTCCACATGGCTGAGGAAGCCTCACAATCATGGAAGAAGGCAAAGGAGAAGCAATGGCACATCTTACGCAGTGGCAGGCAAGAGAGCATGTGCAGGGAAACTCCCCTTTATAAAACCATCAGATCTCATGAGACTTATGCACTATCATGAGAACTGCATGGGAGAGACCACCCCCATGATTCAATTACCTGCCACTGGGTACCTCCCACAACAGGTGGGGATTATGGGAGCTAGAATTCAAGATAAGATATGGGTGGGAACATAGCCAAACTATATCACCATCTTTACAAAAAAAAAAAAAAAAAAAAAATTAGCCAGGTGTGGTGGCATGTGCCTGTAGTCCCAGCTACTTAGGGGCTAAGTTGGGAGGATGGCTTGAGCCCAGGAGGTCGAGACTACAGTGAGCCATGTTCATGCTACTGCATTCCAGCCTGGGTGACAGTGAGACCCCGTCTCAAAAAAATAAGAATACTAAATCAGTAGGCAATAGGTTCTAGATTTCACACTGGCAAAATGAAGCAAAAAGGGTATTATAATGTGATATGTAATTGCTTTCTGACAAAAGAAAGCACAAAATTCATCTACAGAGACAATATGGAACTAAATTTCCAAAAGTAAGTTTTTGTGAATCCTTGAAAACAAAACTTGGCAAATTAGAAACATTATTTTCATCCTTGGGTTTTTATAGAAATATTGTTGAGCGGAAAGGTTTATAAATGTGCATACATACTCTTTCAAACAGATTTACACAGGTGTGGAACTTATTCAACTCATCATCAGAAAATATACACCAGCATAAAGACTTATCACTTTATCAAAACTAAGACTGTGATTGCTTACTTACCTCCAAACTCCTTTCTCCTACATCTGGCCTTTTATTAATTTAATAAAAAAATTATATTATCTTTACTCATCCCCTCTTAAAAATTCCTGGCCTGTAAAG